ATACACTACTGCAAGAAGAGGAGAACATTGGGTCCAAGTCAGGAGGGCTATTTGCAAACCAGATGTGTATGTGCAACTGCAACAGTTATGAACTGGACTTACGAGGAACCACAGGGGAGAACTCAGCTCCATGAGAGGGAGAACTTGCTAATGACTTTCTGCCTAACTTTGTCTCTCCAAAAGTGACTTGTGTGCATAATGACTTAAGCCAGTTGAGCACAATTGAGAAAGAACCCTCTAAAAATATAGATAAGAAGGTAATACATTCCCTTTTAATTTCCAGTTGTTGCAAAATAGATAAAAAGTGCTTTGATGGAATGCCGGAGGACATTGGATACTCTGGATCATGTTTAAAAGTCCCTTCTCAGCCTGAGATTACATGAGGTTCGATAAACAAATTGCAGTGAAATTTGGTCTAAATATTTGCCCCAAAGTAATTCCTCTGTAAGTAATTCCTCTTACTCATTCTAAATTCAAAGAAGAAATATTTCTTAGTTATTGACAGCGAGAAGGAAATTCCCATTTTTATGTACATCTCTGGCATTTGTGGGATTTACAGGTAATTGGGAAAATAACAACATACAACAGCAGCATTTAATGCTCTGGTGAAACCACTTTGAAGTCAAAACTAACTTACTCCTTGAGGTCATGCTCCTCTAATGTGGCAAGAGGTTTCAGCCCATCAGGACGGACTGTGAAACAGGAAGGTAAGAGGTAGGAAAACACGCGGTCTTGAGGACAAGTAAGCTGCAAATCATTATCATCAAAATAATTTTTCCATTTTATTTGACAAGGTGATTCTGGATGTCCATATTTGGTTTATGAACACAGCATAAAATATTTATTTCGAGCTCCATTTTGATCTATTAATTACTACATGAATTTGGATGTAGGTAATGAGCAGGTTTTACATGAAAACATAAACATGCTGGTGTGAACATGGTATTAGCTGCTTTCCCATATTTGTGGAATTTCATGAGGCGGACATGGGCTTTCCCTCCCTTCTCTACTGGAATCAGGCCAGGCACTCACAGGACAATCCAGTGTGGAAAGAAACACGCTGATCACAACAAACTGTCTTTCTTTGATGAGTTATTAACTTAAAGATACATTTCCACACCAGAGACAGTTCTCCTTGCTACTGTCAGGGGGTACTATCCTCTCTCCTCCCATCTAAGGTGTAAACTCAAATGAACTTGTTGGGGAGCAAAAACATGCACACAGTCATAGTTCCTTTTAACCAGAACCTCTCAGAGTCACAAGGTGACCAAAGTGAGCCACCGTCCTTAAAAAGGATCAAGTCCCTTCCTTGTTACAAATTGCAAAGGGGGTTTGCCACCACATACTGTGCTTTGTGGTCTGCTGTTGAGTCCAGTAAGAAGTAATATGTACATTTTCTTTCTAATAGCTTTCACTTGGAGGACACAGATTCCAAAGAAGACCAAATCATTTATTAACAGTGCTGGAAGAAGTGTTTTCCCCAGTCAAAAATTATTTAGAGAGAAGAAGGAGGCACTTTGAGCCTGACACTTGGAGGTCCCTCAGTTAATACTTTGTACATTGAAGGGGTAATGGGTCTAATGACAAACAGATTTTTCCAATCCATTCTCTGAATTTGTGGGTCAGTGGACAGTGAATTAGGTCTGGGGAGGCACCTACTTTAGGGAATGAAATGACCCAACCACATACTTTCTGCACTCATCGAGCCTCTCTAATAGGCTGAGTGGCCTTACTAAAGTTGCATCATGGTAAAATGACACTGTCAACTCGTGAAAGGACAACTTGTTGATTAGATATTTTCAAGAATGCTTACATTTCCATTAAAACTGTACTATTCACAAATCAGTAAATAGACCAAGGGACTCACAGCTTGCCCACAAGACACAATGTACAATGCTATGGCGAGGTTCCTAAAATATAACAGGAAATTTTGATGCAAAGAGTGAGATGAAATACAGGCCATATATTATAAAAGAGCCATCCTCTGGGCAAGAGAGTACTTGAAGAGCATAGATGATTCGCTCATCCAAGAGTTACAAACATAAAAATAAAACATTTAGTCATCTACACTATATTACAAAAATAAATATATCCATCAATAAATAGTAGGAAGCCTAGAAACTTGTACACGAATATACTGGTTGTTGGCTGCCATGTCCCTCTGCCACAAGTCTCTTCCAGAGTCACATAGCTTTATCAACTTCAGTGATGATAATAATGCTGTAGAAGTGTAAAAACAGCTGGCATGACAAGCAGCAACAGTCTATGACCAAAGAAGATATTAAGGAGCTCTGCGTTCCTAAGGAGCTGGTCCACATTATGACTTTGTGGTTATGCAGTGGTGCAGAAGAGTTGTAGATACCTTGCAAGAGGCCTGATGGAAGCTGGTTTATGTCTTGGCATTTTTTGATGAGAAGAGAGAAAAAAATGCAATTGGAAATACTTAAATAACCAGGATGAGACTTTCTGTATCTCTGTTTCCTTAGGGAAGAAAATCATAGAGTGCCTGTGCCCACATCAAGGCTTCTCCAGAAGCCTTGAGGAACAACAGAAGCATGATGGGGAGCAGGGCCTGGTGCAGTGTTAGTGTCTAACATCAGCATGCCACTAGCAGTGAGAACCATATTTTGGCCCTGAGAACCAACTCTTAGGTTTTCAGGAATTTTGCAAACTGAATGACATCACATTGGTAGCTTGAAACAGGCCATACTAGGAATATTCACACCTTTGAAATCCACAAAGCAGGGTTAAGTCCCCACAGATTTTTAGTTGGAAAGCATTTACTAGTACATCACTGTCCTAAATATTTTAGACACAAGGAAAATTTTTGCTTGACTTTTATATAAGTAGAACTATCCTGTTCAGTTGAGGTTTTACTGTATGTCTATTACAGTATCCTTTACAAAGGATAAGAAGTACCATATGAGTTATGCAATGTGTACCATGGATGTGAAGGATGTACCTCATCCCACTGAGGGCACTAAGCATGGCTATCCAAAACCACACACACACACACACACACACACACACAAATAATATGAAGGCTATTCTACAAATGAATGATACTGAGTTGCACAGCTATCTCCAATGTGTTGCATTGACGGTCAAGATATCACTTTTCTAGGGGCAATGGATTCCCCAGGATTTACCATGTGAATACCAACTGACAGTGGATATACAGAGATGTCAATTTGGACAATATCTTCAAAATAACTTCTCTTGCCTCTATTTTCTAGGGCAGTATGAGAATCTCAAAGGATTTGTGAAAGGAAAGCTGATGTCATCCCATGGCTTTGAAAAAAGGTCAAGACTGATGAAAACATTCAAAGGGGTGAGTAAGTTAATGCTCCAGAAACCACAGTCCAAGTGGTGTCAGAAAGGTTTGAGAACTGTATACCCTGGTTCTTTCTGCACAAATGTGTGATCTGCATCGGGGGTGCTGGGGCCAGAGAGTCCCTGTGTGCTTCCAACTGGGCAGGTTCTGGCAGCCCCATGGTACACCCCTTAGTCCTGGCCAGTTCCAAAATGGGAGACTGCAAAGTAGGAAGAATGGAAAAGTCCCAGGGCTTTTACCATGGGGCAACCCTGATTTCAAAATTCAGGTTTAGCTTTTCAGAATGTTCTTCTGAGTCTATTAATTTGTGTATTTAAGTATATACATTTAAACTCTGGTTCTTTATATGTACTAAAGTATTCTTCACAAACAACATGTTTCATAACAGGTATTGTTACAATAAAGTCAAATTAAATATCTTGGGGAAAGTAAGAAATTAGAGCACTAAGTCCTTTCATTCTGGAAGTAAAAGCCTTCAGCCCTCGACAGGGGCAATGAAGGCCAGTGGAGGCAAGGGACTCAGGAGTGGGAGAAGGTGATAAGGGACTGAGACAAAGAAGAAATAGGGAAGGAAAAGAGCAATAGCCAATACAAGAGAGAAATATTAAGAATTGAAGGGAAAAACGGGAAGAGTCCAACAAGCTGATCTCTGCTGATTTTCCCCCTCTTAGTCTTTGGTAATTTTATTTTTTCCAGCAGATTTAATTCTCCAAGTAGAACTTCTTTTAATTTCATCAACACATCCTAAGATGCCACCTATATCCTTGCCCCCTCCCTCTCCCTACCTTCCCTCTTCTCCACCCTCTGCATCAAAAAAATTCGCACACATGACTCACTTTCCTATTACCTCAGGAATAGACATCATCCTGAAGACCTCTCTGTTTTCCTTCCTTGACAGGAATTACCCTCCATAGTACACTGGGCCCCTATGGGTTCAATTTCTGCTATTTTGCAATTATGAAATTTTGCAATTTCCATTTTTGTACCTTACGCCACAGCCTCTTGAAGTCATTTGGTTTCTGTATCAAATAACCTCTCCTTCAAACATGCAGCATCCTGTACCAAGTCCTGCTGCTCTGAGCAATGGCAGAAAATCAACAAAAGTTACACTTCCATTTCCAGTTGCAGTGGGAAATCTAATACTTCCTATGATGATAAAATTTTTGACATAAATCTTTTTCAGAGAACAGGTGACAGAGAACATCCCATTGGCTTTTAATTTACACACACTTGATTGAGTCATATGTGTGTGTGAGTACTATAACTCTTCTAGAACAAGTGTTCTAGAAGTTTATCTATGTACACATATACATACATAAATATTTATCTTTTGACACTGCATTTTTCTCTAGGGGTTGTTATTGTGAAGTTGATATAGAGGATGAGTAATGTGGGCTTGCCACTTGAGATAAAGATGGCATCACCAAGAAATGGCAAGTCCAAAGAAAAATAGGTCAGAAGGAACAAGATTGGAGAATAAAACACAGCTGGTCCTCAAATAACTTTTGTTCAATGTTGTTTTGTTACCATGTTGATGAGAAACAAAATAAATCTGGCCAACATTGACTCAAACAATATTATTTAAGGACCAGTCTTCTTTACACATGTTTTTGCTTAAAGTTAAGGTTTCCAAGAACCTATTGACCTTGTTAGCTGAGCACTTGTGTATGCATTTCCTACAACAAACTGACCTAATTCCCTAAGGCCACAAGCCTCTATGATCTGTACACCCTTATTAAATAATCTCATTAAATAGGAACACCAAATATACACATGTACAGTTATTAAATAAGCTGCTGGGCTCCTCTTCTATCTACAGCCACATTCGGAGACTGCCATGCCCTCATATTTAAACTTGTAGGTGACGACACCTTTGTCTAAATAGAGGATGGAGATGGGCTCTAACTTGGTGGGCACACAGCAGGCTTTGGAAGCCTTCTGGGAATTCTTGAGGTGGACCAAGGCCTGGATAATCGCATGCTTTGTGGGTGTGAGGTGCTCTGCCAGGGGGTAGTTGCAAACACCACGACACTCGTAGGCTTCGTATCCAGGTGGAGCGATGATCCAAGAGTCCCAGCCAATCTCCTTGAAGTCGATGTAGAGAGGGGTCCTCTTGCAGTAGTTTCCCTTGGCATTCCTTCTGATGCGGGCCGTAGAGTCATAAATGATGTTGGACCTCATCTGCAGCAAAGCCTCTTCCCCAGGTCCACTGGAAAATCCATCTAGGCCCAGGTTGTCTAGCTCCAGAAGTTGCTCATGGGAGATCATTTCATTCAGTTCTTCTTTCCGCTCCTTCTCACTGCTTTGGTCATCAGAAAATACAACAAGCAAAGGAACATGCTTATTCTGTGCACTGGTGTCTATTTCCAGTTGTCCCCTCCCAATGTCATCAGTTTCATCACGTCTGCTCTCAATGTGGACCTCCAGCTGGTGATTGGATGAGCCTGATTTTTGCCAACGTCTGATGGCATCGGTGACATCAAAAGTTTCCCACTCACTGCTGGTTCCATAGATCTCCCCTGACACTAACGCTAGCATGCTTCTTTCACCCTCATTGTCCTCTTTGCTTTCTAGGACTTCAAAAATGGTGATCTTCCGGTCCACTCCCTCATATATCATGCGATCTCTTTGCACCAGAGTGTACAGCCTGAGTTCAGCCATGATGACCTCCTCATGGTGAGGGATGGACACATTAAAAAGGAGAGGGTATTTCCGGAGTCCATTAAAACTAGCTGGTTGGGAAAACATATCTGGGGAAAAAAAGGACAAAAATCAAATGTTCAGTATATCTCATAGAAAAATATGCTTATTTATGTGATAAGAGGGTCTGGTCATGCAGGAAGTTTGATACAGAGAGAATGGGGGGGGGTGCGGGGGAGAACATCAATGAAAACAAACCCAATGTTAGCATTCCTGGACACAGAAAATACAAGAGGGCTAAACTGAGTTAAGAAGCCAAGACGAAAGTGAAAAATGACTGCCTAATAAATGGGAGAGAACTCTGCCTAGCCTTGCTTGAGTAGTTTATCAGCCACAGAATAATAGAAATGGGAGGGACTTTTGAGAGTGTGCAAGCAAGCCCCCATTTTTCAGCCAGTGAAGAACTATCAAATGGGATGTGTAGTGGTGGTTCTTTTCTTGATACTTTGCAGGGATGAGGACATTTTATTATTATATATGTAATGGACAAAGACCCACACAGACTGGGCACTGACGTTCCTGAAAGACCTCCATCTAGAATGGGGATTGGTAAACAACTTAGCCCATGTCCAATCAGGCCTGCCACCTGTTTTTGGAAATAAAGTGTTACTGGGAATTGACCATGTGCATTCATTCCTATCTTTTCTGTGACTACTGGTTTGCTATAATGGCAGAGTTAAATAGTCATAGCAGACAACATGTGATTTCTACCCACCCCAGGCAAATACCCCCCTAAAATGTTATTATGTATCTGGCCTTTTACCAAAAATGTTTACTGGTCCCTGCAGTAAACACCAAAAGCTGATAAGGTCAACAAGAGAGCCATGAACCAAGGGAGTGATAGCAGTTGGATATGTGTGAAACAAAAGAAAATTCAGTATAGGCTGGTTACTTTAGTCTTATACCTTTAGTACCTGGCATGGAGTTTGGCACCTATAAATCACTGAAAAGTCTTTATGAGATAAATTTTTAAAGTCTGGTTAATCTTGGATGCACACTACTGAATATTACCATGTTGACTTCCTCCCTGAGAATTGTACGGGAATCCAAAGCTCCTGTACTTTTGCCCTTGGTAACACATGTCTACAGGGAACCCTTGTGGGCATGTGTCATCATTCAAGGTTCATGACACCAAAGATGTCATAATAAGGAACAATAATAGATGGGTTCTCTAGCATCTTTGGCAGAATTTTTCCAACTATATACCATTTATATAAATTCATGATTTCAATGGGATCTCTATTCCAGATGATAATAATATTCCAGATTTAATTTGACCTTATTATTTTTATACATGTTACCACTTTTAGATCTGTCCTAAACAACAGCACTCATGAAATGAGGGTTTTGGGGTGATAGTTATTTGGATTTTTTCCTAATCTACATTAATATAAACATATAGTGATTTCATGTGCACCTCTGATTACCACCAGAAATCACCTCAAACACTGTAAGTGAAAAATACTGGTCAATGGAATAATGTAAATTCTCTAATGACTCTTAAAACCAGCTAGAATGAGGTTTCAGACTCTGCATCCAGGCATATTCCCATTCATCTCTACAGTGCATAGACTGTTACAAATGCTCAATTACTATTCATTGAAAGATTGAGTAAATTGCAAAGCCCCATGGTTGAAGCAGACTTCTATTTTCTTTTCCCAGCTTGCAAAGTATCATTTTGTTTTATTGTATATTGCACCTTTGGATGTGACTTCTGACCCATGAGAACATCTTCTGCCTTTACCTCCACTTACCCAGCTTATCCATTTTCCCTTGAAAACCCCTCCTTCCTCACCCCCTTATCTGAAAGTTCATTCCCTTCTGAGTCAATGGAGTACTTATTCTCTATCTCTCCTTTGACGTTTGCCATTTATATCCTTCTATTTCAGCTGTCTTTTTATGAATGGATCTTGCCAACTAGTTGCCAGGTATCACAGTTCAGTTCCCTTTTCTGCCTCTGCCCTACCAAGATGCCTTAGAAAACAGCAGACTTAAAAATATGATTGGTTGATGTTTTCAGGCATCAGGCCAAATTAATTTATGGGCATGGTATACACCGCAGATATATTGGAAGTTATCACCTATCCATTTAAAAGACTATAGGAGACTTGACTCTCCTTGGAAAGGGAACATGACAAGACTAAAAGTAAGGCAATAGGTCTGTTGTCCCACCAATAAGAAAAGTGCAGAGTAAAAGGTCACTATTGGGAAGAAGAGATTACAAGTTAGCATGATGATGGTTGTGATGGATATATTTGATGATGATGGATGATGGATGTATTTACTATCTTCATTATGATGGTAATTTCAATGGGTGTTTACATTTATCCATAACTATCAAATTATACACTTAGATGTGTAATGTTTATTGTATGTCTAGTAGACGTAAGTAGAACTGTTAATAAATTCACTGTGCAGGTACAAGAATGGCAAGTAATAGATAAAGATGTTACATTTCAGGGCGACAGAACTAATGTTTGTTAAGCAAATTTCATGTGCTAGGTGCTTAACAAGTAATGCCTTTTTTTGTTTAAAGATTTACTTATTTATGCATACAGAATTGGGGTACAGGCTAAAGGTGCAGGGGCGGTGAGACAAAGTGGGGAGCAGAGCAGGCCGACTGATGAGTACATTGGTCAGGAGAGGTCTGCCTCGCCATGTGGATCACATCTAGGGCTGGGGATTGAACTCATGCTGAAGTGGCTTTAGCTTCTTCGTGTTGTGATTTCACCCTCTGTGCCACCAGGGAGGGCCCAATACTGCCTTATTTATGCCTTACAATAATTTTATAATTCAGGTATTGCTTCTTTGTTCATTTTCACCAGAAAAAAAATCCAGCCATCCTCAAAGTGGAGAACTGACTGCCCAAAATGATAGGGAAAGGGTGGAGCAGTGGTAGGAACTGAAGTAATGTATTTTTTTTTTTATTTTGGAAGTGGCACTTGTTTCCCATGATTCGTAGGTTTGTGGTGCTTTTGCTTTTATTTTATTTGTTTGGTCTTTCTCATCTTGGGGGCTGCAATCAACAGACCTGAATTGTCATAAAAGAGACCTCAGTTGCCTGCAAGGACAGCACAAGAAAGAATTCATGTCCTTGGTGCTGCACACTTGCATCCATAGACTGGCAGTTCTGAGAGCAGAGGAGAGATCAGTGTCCACTGAAAGATACTCTTCTGGCTTCAGTGGCCTCCAGTAATAAGTTACATGAACTCCACTTCCTGACCTGGGCCATCTAAATCCTCACAGAAGTGAGAACTGAAAAAAAATCTCATTTTCCCTGGGTGATGTGAACATATTCCCACCCACACCCTGAGCCTGGCACTTGGGGCTCAGTGCTCAGAACCTTCATTTTTCACTCAGACTTGCCTTCAAAAGGAATCTATCACTTCAGCGTACCATTTCTATTAAGTTATAAAACACTGTTAAGTAATATATCCAATATGTTTACTAGATATTAGAAATTTTGGTGGTCAAATGGGCATCTCAAGAGCAATATGTATTCAACATTCCTCCACTGCCTAGAATTTAAAGAATTCACTAGTATTAGCTAACATTTAGTTTAGTACTTATTAGAAAATGGAGTGCGTTCTTACCCTTACTTCTTTTGAATTGCTCAATTAAAAATGTAAATGTATTATCCCCAATTTATAAGTAAGGAAGTCGAGTTTCAACTAAATTAAGCTGATTGCCCACAAATACTGTCATCAATCCACTCTCAAAATTCCAAATCCTAAACTATTTACTTGCCGCTACTTTCTACTTTAGGAAATCTGGCTGATATTGACCTAAAGTTCCTTTTGTACCTGGTTAATGATTATAAAGCATAAGTAGAAAATATTTAATATTTTTTATTTAGACCCAAGCCTTTACTATAGTTCCTCACCCCACCCCCCACCAACACTATATTAAACATAAGCTTATTTTGCTAGGTCATTAGATTTAGTTATTTAAAGAGTTAGGATGTCAGGAAACAAAAACACACTTTCTCACCATTATATAAAGCTTGTGCATTGATCTTCACAAAGACACAGAAATAAGCTGTATATTAATTGGGCCATACGCTGTTGTATGTACATGTCATACAAAGCACAACCAAAATTTACGAAGAATCTCTAAAATGTAAGTTCCCAACCTGCTTAAACATTTCTTAAATAATGTAACATAATAGAAGGATTTTCAAGTTTGAGTGAAACCCAAGTAAACACTTTCTGGATTTTGTCTATTTTCATTTCAAGCTAAAATTGTCAAAATTTGTAGTCAATTAAAAGTGAAATGGAATCCAAGGCCTAGCTGGAAAAGGACAAAGATGCAGTAGTAGATCAACGTTCATTTTTCATATTACTTGTTGTCCAAAATAAAGGTTTTTAAAGACCCAAGTATGGTGTCAAAATTATAGATACTTTATGTTTGTGGATGAAAAGATATTTTTAATACCATTTGAGATGACCAGAAAAATGGTACAGACACAAATCAAAATATGCATTGCTATTCTGTATCTGTGTACAGATACATTCACCTAAACCCAAGCATTGCAAATTTACTTATCACTTCTTGAAATATTCGCTTACCTTCATTCTTGAAACTTCTAATGATGTTGGCAGAGGGCATGGAGGTCCGATCTACTGCAAACTTGTTGTAGAGTTCCAGCATGTACTCTGGTGGGTCAACCTTGGCTGAGTCCTGCATAGGGATGTCAGAAAGGTTCAATGTCTTGAGAAACTCATTCTTCATGCTCTGTAGGAGTGTGTTGAAGTCAACCCCATCTTGCTCTGAGAAGACATCATCAAAGAGAGGCATATCTTCTTCCAGAGGTGACCGGTCCAGGCTCATGATGGGGCTGCAGGAAACCCAGTGAGCACCCAGGCAGAAGAGAGCACACAGTCGCAGGACCAGCGAGCCCATGACTGCTGGAGCCCCCAGGCCAACCCAGGAAGGTTTAGCGCTCCTGGGCTCCAAGTGGCAGTTTTATCTTACAGAGCGTAAATGTCTCCTGTCACTGGAGACAAGTTTGGAAACTTCCTTTCTCTCTCCCTCCCCCTACCACTTTCCCCCCCACCCCAAGTCAGGTTGCAGTAATTGGATAGCAAAATCCCCTATAGGGGCCTAGCCTTTCTTATCTCTCTAGTATAAACTTGTGCACCAGATTTTGTTTCTATCTAGCAATCCCTTTTTCTTTTAATGAGCATTTTGTAAACATTTCCACATTCTGACACTGGCTGAGATAGAACAATTTTCTCCTTGCAAAGGCTCTGCTTCTCTTCTTTTCAATTCACTTCCTTTTGTCAGGAAGGCCTAAATTCTGCCTTTATGTGGTTCAATTTCACATAGGTATGTAATGGACATTAAGATATTAAGAATCAACTTAATACACATCAATGATTATAACTATTAATTTGAGGACTAGGGCTTTCATCCCATCCTCAGATAGCATTCCTGAAGAGAGGTCACATAGCTAAAGCTCCAAGTTAATAAATATAAAATTTGAGAAGTTTTTCAGAAAAAATAAGTAAATTTCATCATCAATAGTGTTTTTTCCAACAGATTTGGCCTGACTAAAATCACTGTGTATACATAAGGCAGGTGCTTAATTATAATAGCAAGTAAAATATATTAGCTGCTTTCCTACAAGCAGACATTGTACTAAGTGCTTTACATACAATACTGAATGTGCTCTCTACAATAACCCTCTATCACCATTGCATGTAGGGGTCATTAAAATTCTGTAACTTGCTTCAAAATGACAGGATTTGAACCTAAGCAGTGTGACTCTTTTGGAAAAAGAATATGACCAGACTTTGCAACCATTGTTCCCTCAGACTGGGGCATGAGTAGTGATATGACCCCATTACTGTAACTTAGCCCCAGGCCATTCCTACTACCCCAGAGAGTCCACTGTCAGTAGGCAGGGAAGAATTTGTAAATGATGTGAAGCTCAGGTCCTTTGTCCATGCAAGGAATTATTAAAATGACCAAAATCTATGTCAAATGCATCTTTTTGGTTAAATCAGCTTGTCCACTGAGTGACTCCAGTAGACACATGGTAAACAACATTGTTTGGAAGATGAAAATGCCAGTTGTCTTCATCTAAGAAACAATGGAATTGACTGTGTCCGGTATCAGAAAGACAAATCAAGTTCATCTCACGTTCCAACCCTAATCACTGGCAGTAGCAGGAAGTATGCTGTTTTTTTCTGTGGGGACAGACTTCTCCCTGGCATGTTCAGTGCACACCCTGTGCAATTATTTGATACACTGGAATATTTTAAATTTCTGAGTTAAGTTCCCAACCATTTGGCCCAATAGATTAGCTAAAATACATCCACTTCCCTTTTTCTCAGGTTCCTTAAGGTTTATAGTCACCTTCTGATTCTTTTCTCTCCTAAAATACACTATTCACCACATTTTTATTCTCTGGATTACCATAGAAAGAACTATATTTGCAAGAAGAATTCCTCTTCAAAATCACCTGCTTGTTTGGCCACTGATTTTAATTCAGTGCTCTGATTCAGCGAAAAGCTTCTGTTCTGACATTAAAAAGAGAATTGTAGGCTGAAAATAGACTCTACCCTGAACAGTCCACAAGTGAGTGTGTCCAAGGGCCGTGACCCATCCTACGGGTGGGGCATTTGAGCATGAGGTTTTTGACCGCATACCAGCAGCATCCTGGTATCACGTCCTGCATCAAAAGCAGCACCCATTTATCTTGACACACACACAGATGTCAACGCACACTCCAAAACTCTGAATGGCAGGCATGTTCATGTAACTGCCGCAGGACAGCAGAATAAGTGGTGGTACTTACAAACGGGAGACTGGTTTCAAAGGTCAGGATAAAAGATGGACATCCCACCTTGCAGAGCTTTGGTTTTTTACCTTCTGATGGGTAAAATGTTCCTGAGACTTTCCCTGTACTTGGGGTTAAAAAACTTTCCTGTTGGCCCTCCCTGGTGGCGCAGCGGGTTAAAGCACAGCACTAAGAAGCTTAGGCCACTTCCCCATGAGTTCGATCCCCGCCTGCCCCAGAGGAGATCCACATGGCGCGGCAGACCTCTCCTGACCAGCCCGCTGCTCCCCTCAGCAGTGTACTTCATCGATCTGCCTGTTCTGCTCCCCACTCTGTCTCTCTCACCCTCCACATCTCTGGCCTGTACCCCAGTTCTGTATGAATAGATAAATCTTTAAAAAAAAAAAAAAGAAAACTTTCCTGTTAAATATTTGAGCCAACTTCTCCATCATAAATGTTTTTTATTTTTGGCTGATTAAAAGACAGAATAGGAAGTCATCTATGACATCTCAATGTCCATTATAAAGTCCTTAGCCCTACACCTGTGCCAGAGTAGAAGAGGAAGCAGATTGAAAATCTAAACTTCCTTCCTCTTCCAGGCTTCACACACCTGCATATTAGATGCTATCTATGCTATCTCCATGATTTTCTCTTGACACTTTTTCTGATGACTCTCATCAGAATCTACAAAGTTCAAATATTTCCACATTTTTCACCCACCTTGATTTTTTACCCTGTTACTTGGCACTGACCTCAATGGTTTAAATCCCATTTATTTGGGAGGTCTCACAATTAATTTAGAATGGGCTGAGCATCCCTATTTTGCTGAACCAAAGAAATGGTTCATCTGGAATCTTAAAGGAAACCACACAAATGGAAAACAAAATGTGAATTACACATCAGGTTTTTCAACCCAACTGCAAAATGTTTCAGTCTCTGCTTTACAGAGTGTTGGGTCAACTTTTTAGATGAAGCCCAATAACTGTACCAGCTTCAAGGCTCTAAGACTCATCTCCATTGGCTTCTCAAAGGACTGTGATCCAGACTGGTTAGACCCACTGAACAACACCCTTACAAATTCTGTCGCTTTCTGTGAGTGTGGACAGACCCTAAATAAATGCAATCAAGTTGTTCTTCTTATGAACAAGAGATCAATTAAAATAGCATGTCTTTGAACTTGGCTCCATGTTTTTGGCACCATCTCCACATGTAATCCTTCTTCAGAAGTATTATTTTACTCTTGCTGTCCACTCAAGAGTTTTTCAGGACCTTAGTAATCTTCTTAAATTAAGTGTGATAAGAAAAATAATTAGCTAGTTGTATGAAAGATCCAAGCAAATAAAAATGCATACTAGTTATATCACCAGAGCAGGATCCAAGACCTCTTGTTTCACCTCTTAAGCTCTGGTTCTGAGGACAATGGGATGAGATGCTGGGAAGAGCTTGGGCAGAAAATGTTTCCCATTGTAGAGGAATGTTTTGATATTTTGGCACCACCAAGTATTGTACTATGAACAGTGGGTGAATATTAGTCCCGTCTAAATATTTCTCTCTCTTTTAGAGGTTTGTTTATTTACACACATAAGAATTGGGGGTACAGGCAAGAGATGTGGGGTGAGAAATTTCACCAAAGACAGAGTGGGAAGCAGAACAGGGCATATGAATGAAATACACTGCTGAGGGGAGCAGCAAGTGAGACAGAAGAGATCTGCCATGCCATGTGGATCACCTCCCCAGCCGGCGATCGAATTCATGCTGCAGTGGCTGCAATAGCTTCATAGTATGTACTTTAACCCCTTTGTGCCACCAGGGAGAGCCCCCATCTAAATGTTTCTAAGCTAAATTCTATCAGAATTTGCAACGCAAATGAAAATAGATCACCGGAACTAATTAATTCACTCCCTTGCCTGCTTCTAGAATCTGTACTCTGCCTGCCCTCTCATTTCTGCAGTCCAAATCTTGCCCACTCTTTGCAGACTAGGAAACCATTTGAGAGTCTTTTGAGTCTGGATGGGGCAGAGAGCTCCTGCTCTTCTCGTATAACATCTGCACCTGTATCTCCCTCAAGGATTAGCAGTTGCCTTGACGTTATATTCCAGAGTCAACGTTTTTGGTAAAGGAAGTTTCCCTTGCTGACTCTTAGCATTTAGGTTTCTTCTTTTGTTCACCTGATGTTTATCAGTTCACCAAGTGGCTCTCTCATAACAACACAAAGAAGCCATCTCCCCTCTCAACTCCTCCAAGTATACAATTTAACAGTAGCTCCCTCCTTCAATAATGCATTAGTGACCTTTCACTCTTCAGTGAGACATATGATGTGAGTTATTATCAGTAATTCAGTTAATAATTAAAATTAGGTGCTTGTAATCATCTTTCAGCAAAATTTTTCATGTATACATGCCAGGTAATATTCAAAACCAAAACCTGAGGAAAAATAGACCAAACTCCTCACCTTGTAGAGTTTACTTTCTAGTTGAGGGGAGGGAGACAGTAATCAAATACACACACACAAAATGAAGTGCCTGTTGGGTGGTGATAAGTACCAAAGAAAGAACAAACCAAAGTGAGGGGCTAGGATGTGCCATTGAGGAAGGGCTGTTGTTTCACTGTCAGGGCCAAGGAGTCAATCAGGCTGGCCCAGAGAGGAAAAGCATTACAGGCAGAGGCAATAGCTATGCAAGGATCCTGAAGTGGCAGCATACTTGGGGCGGGGGTGGGGGGACTTAATCATCAGCATGAAAGTTAGAAAGTTAAGACATTGATAGAAAATTGACTGAGGGAGGAAATTTATAGGAAATAAGGGCCAAGAACCAGCAGGGTCTGGACAATTGAAAAGTCATGGATTGTTTTATAAGTCATACTATGCACACCCAGTTTTAACTCTTGCTTTTATTCTCTGAATATTCCATTTTAATGTTCCACGGTCACTACAAATTATAGTAAGAGTCTAATTCCAATAGGTGGATATCCTATAAGCTTGTAAAAGAATTTTTTAAAGTAGTATAGGATATGTATAATTCTATTGAAATGTAAAGACTTTAGATATTTAGATACCGGCCATTCTTGGAATATACCTATTGACTTGAAAAATGGGTAGAAGAATGAAAATGCAGATTGGTCAAATAATGTTTTTCTCCATAGAATACCACTAATCTCAGAAACACATGGAGACTAATAGTCTGTGCCATTTCCTCTTTTGCCTGGATTGGGATAGTAGGCTACTATTGTGACCTATTTTTAAGATGAGTAATGATTATCACTCATAGTATT